AATATAACTGCACTAGGTCAGAAACCAGGGGTAGACTGGACAGACAGCACAAATACAAAGAACAGGCAGGAAGCTACTGAAACAGTTTGAGTATAAAACAATATGCACTCAATGTGACATAATTAAAAACGAAATAGAGGCCAGGCATGGTGGTGCATGCCTATAATCCCAGCACTTTAGTAGGCCGAGGCAGGAGAATCACTTGAGTCTAGGAGTTCAAAACCAGACCTCATCCCTACCAAAAAATAAAAATAAAAAAATTAGTCATGCAAGCTAGGATCACCTGAGCTCAGGAGGTCAAAGCTGCAGTGAACTGTCATCATGCTACTTTCCTTTAGCGTGGGTAACAGAGTGAGACCCAACTCAAAAACGAGAGAGAAGAGATAGCAAGAATAACGCAGAAGGACAAAGTGATGACCACTTAACAGACTTCAGTGACCATTCAAAAACAGAATGTCCCTAGTAGAAATGTATAGTATGAATGAAGATATGGAACACCAGAGGCAAAAGGTATGGGTTAAAGGTTGATTACATTGGGATAAAAATTTAATTAAAGCGATAAAATTATAGGAGGTAATGAACAGATTACAGACTGAGAACAACCTCTTCGGTTTACAGCTGAAACAAAAGCTTCATAAATATAAGGACTAGTTTTTATAGTGTGAGGTTTTCAAGATCACTAAAACCAAGAAAGCAGAAAACATAAGATCCCAGAAGTGGTGTGATCCATCACAGAAGAAACAGTAAATGGAATTTCCAGAGTGAGCTAGTGAAAAGAAATTCTGACAAGAAAAGGCTATGCAGCAGGACTAGAGAACAGAGGGCTCAGAAGGAATGCCGTCAAGTGAAAAATGGACCTCATGTATTTGATTGCACTGAGAACAATATAACAGTTCTTTTAGAAAGCTTAAGGGAAGTAGTATGGATAATCACAACAAATGAAAATATTCCTAACTCTAACAGAAAAAATCTTTGAAGAAAAGAAAACTGTAGCCGGGCTCGGAGGCTCAGCCTGTAATCCCACGCTTTGGGAGGGTGTGGTGAGTGAATTGCCTGAGCCCGCAGGTTCGAGACCTGACTGGGAAACTTGGCGAGACCTCATCTCTACAATAAATCAAAAAATTAGCCGGGCATGGTAGCGCGCGCCTGTAGTTCCAGCTACTTGGAAGGCTGAGGTGGAAGGATCGCCGGAGCCCAGCAGGTCAAGGCTGCGGTGGCCGGGAGTCTGGGCAACAGAGAGAAACTCCAACTCAAAAAAAAAAGAAAAGAAAAGAAAAGAAAATTGTATACTAGACACAGATGTGAACAATATTTATGTCACCATAAACATAAATACTGAGTATTCACTTGACCAAATATGCGATATAACTATACTGGGATGACAGAAGGTGTGAGAGGCGTTGATAGAATTAGAGGGCTTGATCCTATTCTTCCACAGTAGACAGTAAGCAGCAAACCATGGAAAAGTAGCATGACTTTGAAAGAAATGCAGAAGTAAAAGCAAAACAAAAAACAACTAAAAAAACAGAAAACAGTTGCCTCCTAAGAATGGCACTTTTATTTTTCAGTATAAATCATTCTATTTTAACTGATTTGTAAAATCATGGGAAGCATTATTATATATTACTTGCAAATTATATAATTTTTTCCAAGATGGCTCACTGTAATCCAAGCACTCTGGGAGGCCAAGGCAGGAGAATTGCTTGAGCCCAGGAGTTTGAGATCAGCCTGGGCAACATTGATTGTTTCTACAAAAAAATCAAAATATTAGCTGAGTGTGGTATGCATGCCTGCAGTCTCAGCTACTTGGAAGGCTAAGGCGGGAGGACTGCCTGAGCCCAGGTGGAGGCTGCAGTGAGCCGTGATCATGATCGTGCCACTGAACTCCAGCCTGGGCACCAGAGTGAGACGCTAACTCCAAAAAGAAAAAAGAAAAGAAGTTTACAATCATGATCAAGAAGCATTTATCCTAGGAATGCAAGGATGGGTCAACAACAGAAAAAGATCAATGTAATTTACTTCATAAATGATGTAAAAAAGAAAATGGCGTGATAATCTCAATAGACACAGAAGAGGTATTAATGCCTTAAAAAGTATTAATACCCAAGACTTATTTATATATATATATAGTTTATTTATATATATTACAAGAACTATATATACATATAGTTCTTATAAGAAGAGAAATAAAAATTTCTTAACATGATAAGAATATCTAACTGAAATCTACCACAAACATACTTAATAGAGACAATTTAGCTATCTTCCCTTTAAGGTTCAGGACAAGGTATAAATCTCTCCCTCTTCTCCATTCAATTAGAATTCATGTTAAATTCAATGTCAGAGTTCCTGACCAATAAATAACATTAAACAATGATTAGAACTAAGAATATTCAGCAAGATTGTTGAATCAATAAAATAAATCAACAATGTGGCAGTGTACTAGAGGTAGCAATAAAAAAGAAAAGAAAACCATTTACTATAAAAACAGAAAACAATAAATATCTAGAAATTAGCCTAATAAGAACTTAAATAGAGAACAGAAAAAGACCTGAAAACTAACATTCACTGAGAATATGCTTTAAACTATAAACAAATAAATTTTGTCCAAATTAGCCTAAATTTAAAGTCATTCCAATTAAACTAACAAAAGTTTTTAGGTAACATGATAAACTGATTCTGAAACTTACATGTTAAAACATGATCACAGACATTTAAGAAAATTCTGGCAAACGGGGAACTTGCCTTACCAGATATCAATTTCAAAGTCATTCAAAGTGTGGTTTTGGACAAGTACAGCGGCTCACACCTGTAATCCCAACACTTTGGGAGGTCAAGGCAAGAGGACAGCTTGAGCCCAGGAGTTCAAGACCAACCTGGGCTACATAGTAAGACCTCGTCTCTAAAAAAAAAAAACAAAAATTAGACAGGCGTGGTAGTACGTGCCTGTAGCCTCAGGTACTTGGGAAGCTGAGGTGAGAGGATCACCTGAGCCCAGGAAGTTAAGGCTACAGTGAGCCATGATCAAGCCACTGCACTCCAGCCTGGGGAAGAGAGTGAGACTCTGACTCAAACGACAATTGTGGTTACTAGAACGGGAACATACTGGCAGCTCAACTGATTACACAAGGTATTCCAGAAAGAGACTCACATATTTGCCATTTTTCTTACATATACTGGAGTCTCATAAGTGCACAGGTCAGAACCATGGGTTTCACACATTGAAATTTTCTGAATTTACTGTTATATTTAGACTTGACTTCTTTCTATCTAGGGACATTGGGCCTGAATAATACTGGAACTCAAGGACGCAGCTTCCACCCTCCTAGGAGCATGTCCTATAATTTCTGGTCCCAATCGCTGGCACTCCTCCACCCCATTCTCCCTCAGCTACAGAGGATATGCTCTTTCTCCTCTCTGTTTGGCAAGGAGGGCTGGAAGAAAGACAAGAAGTCAATCACATAATAACATTGTATTTAAAACTGCATCACAGCGGAGTTTGATTATATATGTAAAGCAAGTATCCTTTATCCAAAAAGCTCAGGACCAGAGGTGGTTTTGGATTTTGATTTTTTTCAGATTTTGGAATATCTGCATTACATATACATACCAGTTGAACATCCGTTATCCAAAAAGTTGACGTCTGAAATGCTTTAATGAGCATTTCGTTTGAGCATTTCATATCAGCACTCAAAAAGTTTTGGATTTTGGAATATTTCTGATTTCAGATTCCTTGGAATACAGATACTCAACCCGTATACAGTGTTTAATACATAGTGCTTAAATTATCGTCCCTTTCTATCCTTCCAAGTACCTTGTTTGATGTCTCCATATATAACTTATCCAAACCTAATTTCTTCCTCAAAACCCTAATTTCTTCCTTTTTAAAATTAGAGACAGGGCTTTGCTATGCTGCCCAGGCTGGTCTCAAACTCCTGGGTTCAAGCAATCCTCCTACCTTGGCCTCCCAAAGTGCTGGGATTACAGCGTGAGCCAATGCACCGGCCTCAAACCTAATTTCTAAAAATAGATTACTGAAAGCAAAAGCAGCACATGAAATACAACTCTTTCCTATACATTAAGTGGTTCTCATACTTGAACATGAGTCAGAATCACCCATAGGGCTTAATAAAACACAAACTGCTTGACCCCATTCCCAGAGTTCTAATCAGTAGGTCTGGGGTGAGGTGCATCTATAACAACTCCCTGGGTGGTGCTAATCTTCCTCCACAAACCACATTTACAAAGACACTGCCCTCCAGAACAGCAGTTACCAAGTGGGGGCAATCTTGCTCTCTATGGGAAATTAGGTAATGCCTGGGTATATTTTTGGTTGTCACAACTGCGAGGAGGGGTACTGTTGGCATCTAGAGAGTAAAGACCAAGGATGCTGCAAAACATCCCACCACACACAGGACAGCCCCCACAACAAGGAATTATCCAGCACAACACATGAAGTGTGTTGAGATTGAGAAAACTTGCTAGAGAGTAAAACACAACTTACTCCAGATATATGATCTGACCATTAACTTGGTGAAAGTTCTTCAGTGCATTGCAGAAATCTGACACGAAATAAATATTCAAAAATTCTGTTTTTTTTTTTTTTTTCAAGTACTGCCAACTCTTTGAGTTTTACTCACCTACAGCAAAATGAAGTTTTAGACATAATTAATGCTTTAAGGTATACTGGGCTACAAAAGCAAGAAAGCATTGACTCAATATTATTTGTAGAGATTATAAAAAAAGCAATTACATAAAAACTTCTTTGAAAAGTAATCACTAACAATGTTAATTTCTTAAGCTGAGTGAAGAGCAGACAGATATTCACTTTACTATTAATAAATATATTTAGATAGAAACAAAATCTTTCATAATGAATAATTTAAGGAAAAGCAGCAATCATCCCTAAGTAATATGCCTGAGGCAAATGTACTTTATGTATACATGTGTATATAAATGTATACACACACACACACACACACACACACACGTGAACTTACTCCAGGAGGTTGAAAAATAAGTCCATCCATTTCATGGCTGACTTCTTTGGCAAAATTTCCTTCAAGTAGCTATAAAATAAATACATATATATCCTTTAAAAATACAATAATCAATTTAAAATTATCTTAATTTTTTGGTAAGCTTTATAAAAACTTAGCATGCAAGCTGTGAGAACTGAAATACAAAATGAAAAGGGGTGGGTCTAAGGGATCTAAATGAATGCACTGTCAGATTTGTGGAGAAAAACACATGAAGATTCCTGCTCCACAGCAGGCTAGGTATTCTGAACAACAGTCCTAACCACAAGAGACAAAATAATAGATAAAGTGCTTAAAAATGTACGTTTTAATGTATTGCGAAGCCAGCCCAAAAGAAAAGAAGACATCGAAGCCAAAAGCAAAGTGAAGGCAGGAACTCTGGAAAGCAATAATAAAGGAACAAAAACCAAACCCATACACACACAAAAAAAGACAGGAAAGAAACTCGCTTGGGGCCAAGAATTTATAATCACAAATTAGCTCAAACATGAGGATTATGGTCCAAAAAACCTTAAATAGTTTCTTTAATCTTTCTTTTTTGTTTTGTTTTGTTTTGGTTTTTAAATATTTTTTTCAAGCAGAGAATTTCATTGCAAGGGACACACAGTTCAAAATACAATTGACAGTTTTTTCAATGCCATATCCGCTAATAAGCAGTTACAGACCCAATACCTTCTAATTAATTCTGATCAACTAGTTATAAATGAGAAAAGAGAACTTTCACAGATACTTATTATTTTAAATAACCCAACATGTATATCACAGATGGAGGCTCAAAACACTGAGAACAAAATATACTTTCACAGAGCCAGGTAACGTCATGTTTTTCAGAATCTGGCCAACTAATAGAAAACCCAGGAGAGTTCTGGAATCCAAATATGTCTCGAAAACTTTGAACATGCTGTGTATTATAAAACCCTTTTGTCATAATCACATACACTTGAAGGCAGAATGCTTACAAGGAAATTTGCTTTCCAAAAGCAACAATCAAACCTCAAAAAAGTATTTTGCATACAACAAAATCTGTGATTCTCCTCCCCAAAGTTGACTTCATTTTCTCTGCCATTTCATCCTTTAAAATCTGCGATTTCTTTAAACTGGAATCAATTCAAATTTGAATGTAAATATCTACACTTTCTTAAAATTTTCATGTTCCTTAGTCACATTCAGAGACAGAAATTAGACCAGTAGTGACTGCCAAGGGCTTAAGTGGACAGAGGGTCATGTTTCATGAGTTTCAGTTTTGAAAGGTGAAAAAGTGCTGGAAGTGGTTAACAGTAATGGCTGCAAAAAAATGTGAACGATGCTTTATGCTTAAAGTTAAAATGATACTGTATACTTAATAGTCAAAATGGTAAATATGGCCATGTGTGGTACCTCACACCTATAATCCTAGCACTTTGGGAAGCCAGGGCAGTAAGATGACTTGAACCCAGGAGTACCAGACCAGAGTAGGCAACATAGGGAGACCTCATATCTACAAATAAAAACATTAGCCAGGGGTGAGGGTGGGTGCCTGTAGTCCCAGCAACTTGGGAGGCTGAAGCAGAAGGACAGCCTGAGTCCAGGAGATCAAGGCTGTGGTGAGCTGTGATTGTGCCACTGCACTCCAGCCTGGGTAACAGAGTAAGACTACATCAACTAAAAAAAAAAAAGATGGAAGTTGCCTGAAAGCAGTATATCTGAATTTGAAACATTAGAATAGAAGTAACAGTTAGGAATGAGCTTCTGAAGTTCAAGTGGGAAAGTCACTGAGACGAAAATCTCAAAGAAATGGAAGATCAATGTCAGAAGTAAGTCAAACCAAACACTGGGACGTTGTAGTCAGCAAGGACGGGATGCGGCCTTGGAGCACAGTCGGTCAGGCACAGTCTTCATGAAAGCAGGAAGAGTTACCAAAAACAGCTGAATATATTTAGTTAAAACAGCAAAACGTAAAAGGTCAGGTTTAATTTAATCATTTAAATATCAGACATAATTTGAAACTCACTTTGACATTCTTTTGTCTCAAATATCTTATTCCAAAATAAAATTCCAAAATAAAACGTCCCATACTTTTAAGGTCTTTTCCTCCTTTCCTAAGCAAAATTGATTCATGAATTGCAGTGGCATCCTAATGTGAAAAGTACTAAACTAAGTTTTTCTTAGATAATTTACTAAATGATTAACATCCCAATAAAAATGAAATTTCACACGGTGGTTCAGATGTTTCCTGGCTGCCTTCCAATGCTAGAGATCAAGCCAGTAATAGGGATCTGGGGGCTCAATAATAATATAAGTCTAGGCCACTATACCTAAACAATACCTTAATTTTAATTTGACAGTAAAAAAATATTTAAATGCAACGATGCAATGGCCCATATCTCCTTGTCAATCTTTCTTCAGAAAAACAGTTCTACTTAAATTAATTAAGATGTGGGCCAAGTGTGAAGGATAATGCCTGTAATCCCAGCACTTCGGGAGACTGAGGCAGGAGGAGTGCTCAGGCAACAAAGCAAGACTTCATCTCTAGCCCAAAAAAAAAACCGGTGGGGTGTGGTGGCCCATGCCTACAATGCTAGCTACTCAGAAGGCTGAGGCAGAAGGATTGCCTGAGCCTGGAAGGCGGAAGCTACAGTGAGCCATGATCATGCCACTGCCACTCAAGGTGACAGAGTGAGACTTCAACTCAAAAGAAAAAAAAAGAAAAGAAATTGCCTAAAATGTCTTTAAAACACTTCTAACAGACAAAAGATCTTAGTTTAGAAATATTTCATTGCAAAATCTTGGAGAAAACCTAAAGTGGAATATATGATTATCTTAATCTAGGATACAATCCTTTCATAATTACAATTTTCTTGATGACTTTTTTCCAGATAAAATTAGAAGATAGCTAGATGAAAGGTAAGAGTAGACATAAAAATTATCTCATATAATTTTTAATAAAGCATCACAGTGTTTCATAAGGTTTTCCTGTGAAACTTAAATTTGCGCGTTTATGAACCTAATCCTATCAGTGAACGCCATATGAAGTGTGCTACAGAAGATAAAAAGATAAACGACCCCCATCTTTCAGTTCTGGTCTGTTCTACTCAGAATTTTCTGAGAATTCCCACATAGCCTCACCTCACTGCCTGTAGAAACTGACAAAGGTTACTACACATGATGTGTGACTCTGAGTTGATGTTTTATGTGTCTGTGAATCATGAAGTAATTTGAAAACCAAGTCATTATAAATGCATAAGCAGAGACAGATCATCTAAAAGGCTTGAAATTAGAAACATGAGAAACAAAAAAGAAACTGCAAAGTTACAAGCCATAGAAAGCAGCCTTTTAAAAATAATAAGCAAAATGACAGTTTAAGACTACAGTGAATAGGAAAATGAATCTCCAATGTTATTAGAAATACAAATTGGCCAGACACCGTGGCTCAGCCTATAATCCTAGCACCTTGGGAGGCCGAGGACAGAAGATTGTCTGAGCCTGGGGATTCGAGACCAGCCTGGGCAACTTGGTGAGACCTCATCTCTATAAAAAAAACCATAGAAATAAAAATAATCATAATAATAAACTAGCTGAGCATGGTGGTGTGCATCCGTAGTTCTAGTTACTTGGAAGGCTGAGGCGGAAGGATCGCCTAAGCCCAGCAGGTCGAGGCTGTGGTGGCCGTGAGCATGCTACTGTACTTCAGCCTGAACGACAAGAGTGAGACTCCAACTCAAAAAATAAAAAGAAAGAAAGAAAGAAATACAAATTAGCAGTATCAGTTTGTTACAGCAGAGAAAAATACAACAATGGAATATGTAGACAGAAAGATAAACGATCCCCAGCTTTCAGTTCTGGTCTATTCTACTGAGAATTTTCTGAGCAGATATTCCCACAGGCTCTCCTCAAGCCTAAGAATACTCAACATAGTAACTTCTACTTCCTATGTCCTGAACTCTTTAATGTGCTTTCATAGCTTCCCTAAAATCCAGGGTTTCGTTTTAACAATCCCTCAAATATGCAAGTTTGCACTTACTTGGATATTAATCTTTATTTTTTTCATTCTCAAAGTCTAAGCTCTGGTTCAGGTTAACATTATTCAGTGCCTCTGTATCCAATATTATTCTAGTCAGTAAATAATCATTCTACAAATCATCTTTCTTACTCACCACAAAGCCACCATCATTATCTTCTTTTAAAAAAAGAATTATTTAGGCCAGGCACGATAGCTCATGCCTATAATCCCAGCACTTTGGGGGACCAAGAAGGGAAGTCTGCTTGAGGCCAGTAGTTCAAGACCAGCCTGAGCAACATAGCAAGCCCTCATCTCTACAAAAAACATAAAAAATTAGGCAAGCATGGTGGCATGCGCCTGTAGTCCCAGCTACTCAGGAAGCTGAGGCAAGATCACTCAGGTTGAGGCTGCAGTAAGCCAGGACTGTGCCACTGCACTTCAGCCTGGACAACATCAGCAAGATACTGTCTCTAAATAAATAAATAAAGATTTGATTGCCATTATTTACCAATGATGCCTAAACAATTATGCTACTACATTTAGCTAATCAAAATATACATAGCTTTTCTAATACTATCATTGGCTCTTTCACTAATCCATATTATTGCAATTAAAATTAGGTATATACATTCTTGTGAATCTCATTTGACAAGTGAGAAAATTTAAAAACAAAATTTATCCAGGAAATATAATTTATTATTTTTGGTTACTGTTAGCCTTACCAAAATCTCCCCATAACTTCACAAAGAAGCAGTCAATTACACTCTCATGGAAAAATAAAAGTTCTTTTTGTCAGGTATCCAAGTTTTCTTTTTAATTTCATACTTTGGCTAGGTACAGCGGCTCATGCCTCTAATTGCAGCATTTTGGGAAGCCAAGATGAGAAGACTGCTTGAGGTCAGTATTTCAAGACCAGCCTGAGCTATATAGTAAGACCTCATCTCTACCAAAAGTTAAAAAATTAGCCAAGAGTGGTGACACTCCTGTAGCCCTTGGAGGCTGAGGCAGAAGGATCGCCTGAGCCCAGAAGGTCAAGGGTGCAATAAGGTGT